TTTTTCACTGCCTCCAATAGCCCACAATCCTCTGTCTCAAAGCTCCTCTTGGGTGTTATTTTGTGAGTAATAGTATACGTTCAAAGTGTTTTCCATTTCTGATGGTATTTCTAGTGAGAAAGTCAGGTAGTCATTTAGCAGATGCTTTTGTCCAATGCGACTTGCAATTGAGGAGGCACTCAGTGATTCAACAAGAAGAGGCAGTACACACCACAAGTGCTGATCATACAGGGGAACTGTCAGTCCTCAGAGAACTAAGTACTAGATTTAGGAGGGGGGACTTTTCAGTTTATAGAGAAAGAGAAGAGTGTTTCTACAGGTGGTTTGTCAAACCCACTCACCTGTGTGAGGCGCAATTCATTAATGCGCTTTTTAAGCAACATGAAGTGATTGTAAGAAAGTGTCTGATGCAAAACTGTTGCAAGCGTGTGTTAAAGTGTCAAACAGATGAAAGGGTGTGTTTTCTACAGGTGGTTTATCAAGCACACTAACCTGTGTGAGGCACACTCCGAATTGATCAAGTTTTGAGGTTGTCACACAGTGGTGGGAGTGCTGTGAATGCTGACTGAGGGGTCCTGCCTTCTTTCTACTATTCTAAAAACATCCAGTCAGTACATGCAAAGCAGTCTTCCAGTGTTTATTCAGCTGCCTCAAACCATACACTGATGGATTGCCTTTCAAGTGCGCACTGGTTTATTTTCGTCTTTAGTCATGAACTATATTGTGTGTCGTAAATGCATCCACTTGTGGTTGAACAATTTTTTTACCATCAGAAATGTAATTGCAAGCGTCTGTTTGAACTTGTGAATAACATTTGCAATGATGAAATGTTAAAATATGGGTGATAGGATATCCAATCATCACTTAGTGTAGCAGATATATATACATGCAACAATATTATAACAGTCTAACCTGTACATTTAAAATATAATACATTTTATTACAAAATACATATACAGCTGAAGTCAGAATTATTAGCCTCCCTTTGAGTTGTTTCTTACTTTTTAAATATTTCCCAAATGATGTTTAACAGAGCAAGGAAATTTTTACAGTATGTCTCATAATATTTTTTCTTCTGGAGAAAGTTTTATATGTTTTATTTCGGCTAGAATAAAAGCAGTTTTAATTTATTTTTTTTTTAACCCATTTTAAGGTCAAAATTATTAGCCCCTTTAAGCATTTTTTGACTCTCTACAGAACAAACCATCATTATACAATAACTTGTCTAATTACCCTAACCTGCCTAGTTAACCTAATTAACCTAGTTAAGCCTTTAAATGTCACTTCAAGCTGTATAGAAGTGTCTTGAAAAATATCTAGTCAAATGTTATTTACTGTCATCATGGCAAAGATAAAACAAATCAGTTATTAGAAATGAGTTATTAAAACTATTATGTTTAGAAATGTGCTGAAAAAAATCAGCTCTCCGTTAAACAGAAATTGGGAGCTAATAATTCTGACTTCAACTGTATATAAATGGAATTTTAAGTTATTTTCCAGAAAGCTACTTGATTACGTTTCAGTCCAGAAAACTGTTCCAAGGATTTTTGTTTGTCATTTTAGTTTTTGATACCTTGAACCATGCACAAAGCAGTCATAAGTGTCAATATTGGGAAGTTAAGATTTATGCGCCTGAAAGTTGATCAAATAAGCTTTCTGTTAATGGTACAATAAATATCTTTGGCAAAATCTAGTGGCTTAAAGGATAGAAGCATAGTATACTTTGTTGTGCTGTATGGTGATCTTTAAGATGTTTCAAGAGTTCACACTTAGCTGATCAATAAATCGTATTTGGCATGCTGTCCTGGGAGAGAGCCCTGAGCTTGTAATATCTTCGAACCTGGAGCTCCCTGCCATTAGAAGGGCGAGAGGGGAGTTCGAGCACAGGTAGGTCTCGAGAACTCCCCTGCTTGTCGCCATGTGAGAAGTGTAAACTAAGGTTGTCTTAGGTGATAATTTGGTTTAGTCGATTGGCTATGGTTTATGTTTTTGGACGGTGGGAGGAATTCAATTTAATTCAATTCAATTCAGCTTTATTTGTATAGCGCTTTTACAATGTAGATTGTGTCAAAGCAGCTTCACATAAATGGTCATAGTAACTGGATCAGGGTAGTTCAGTTTTTAGTGTTTAAGTTCAGTTCAGTTTAGCTCAGTTCAGTGTGGTTTAATAATCACTACTGAGAGTCCAAACACTGAAGAGCAAATCCATCGATGAGTAGCTATTCAGATCCTGAACCATGCGAGCCAGTGGCGACAGTGGAGAAGGAAAAAAAAAACTTCACCAATAGGAGAGTGAAGAATAAAAACCTTGAGAGAACCAGAACCATTTTAATTTCTCGGCTGGCCAAAAGTGTTGTGCAGAGCTGCAGTCTCAGCAGTGGAGGCTGAAAGCTGGCCTCAGCAAAGACTCGTCTGTCCCTAGAGCGCCACTGGAATCAGTCTCATACTCTCCACTCCCCCATGACCAACAGCGCAGCAGCAGCAGCTCAGGATACGGCCTGGTTCCAGATATGGACACCTTGGGATAATCTCGTCGCTGGTCTTGGGTCCAATCAGTGACTCCGCATTGGGGATTGGGGAACCCGGGGGAAACCACGCGAACACGGGGAGAACATGTAAACTCCGCACAGAAACATTGACAAGCCCGATAGGAGGTTGGACCAGCGGTGTTCTTGCTGTGAGGCAACAGTGCTAGCCACTGGGCCACCGTGTTGCTCTATTGGAAAAAGGGGGGAAGCAGGGGTGGATGGGGGGAAGCTTCAAAGCGAAGATAACTGAAGTGAGAAACTCTGGTTATTTATAATGTTTCCGTAATCATCTAACAGGGCAGATTACGGAGCGAATGAGGAGCCAGCCATGTTGATCATAAGCACGTGATCCTCTCGAAATTAGTTTATGAATAAACCACACTTATTATGTCATCAAAGGACTCTTGTTCTAAAAATCCATAACATGATTTATCATTTTTTAATGGCATTTTCATGATAAAATTGCATAATAATCATTGTTTTTGTCAGGAGGAAAAACATTTTTTAATGCACATAAGTAAGAAGCTAGAAGTTATTTAATTCTTTAGAAAAAATAAAATAAAATTTCCCTTTGACTCATAAAATTCCATCATAAAGCTCAACATGAGAGCATATAAACATGTATTACACTTATTTACAGTTCAGACTAGTTAAAACTATTTCCTGCTCAACACTCATAGAGATATTGCGCATAAAAAACAACAAAATTTGCTGCTTAATATGTTAGAAAATAGACTCAGCCATGTTTGTTGTAGTTGGACGAAACCATTTTGATGGGGGGAGGGAAATAAATGAATCATGTTCCCCCATACAAAAAAATAAATAGCTCTTCACTTTCGCCAGTTGATGAAGATTGTTCCTTGCCGCTGTCGCCATTAGCTTACATGGTTTGGGATCTGTAGAGCTGCGCATCGATGGATTTGCTCTTCAGTGTTTGGACTCTCAGTAGTGATTATTAAACCACACTGAACTGAGCTAAACTGAACTGAACTTAAACACTAAAAACTGAACTACCCTGTTCCAATTTACTATGATCTTTTATGTGAAGCTGCTTTGACACAATCTACACTGTAAAAGCGCTATACAAATAAAGCTGAATTGAACTGAAATAGTTGACTTCACTATACAATAATGAAGAGTATATTTACAGAGAGAGCTGAGCGAGTGAGGTTTGTTTTTGTGAATTGAGTAGTGATGGGTCGTTCATGAACGATTCGTTCATTTTGAACGAATCTTCAAAATGACTCAGGAACTACGAGTCCTCTCAGGGAGTGATTTGTTCATCTGCGCGTGCTCACATTTGTGCAGGTATCGTTAATTTCAAGTCTTCATCACATTGGCAGAAGCCAATCATATGCGTTTAGAGCCGGAAAAAGAATTGATCCGCTCACCTCTCGAGTCCTCTATCAGGTGTGAGTCACTCGTTCATCACGAGCCAATCATACGCGTTTAGAGCCGGAAAAAGTTTTGATCCGTTCATCTCTCGAGTCCTCTATCGGGTCTGGGTAACTTGTTCCTCACGAGCCAATCATACGCGTTTAGAGCCGGAAAAAGAATTGAACCGTTCATCTCTCGAGTCCTCGGGTTTGAGTCATTCTCTTACGTGATGAACGAACGATCATGGCTCCTATCAGCTTATACTGTGTACATTGATTAAGATTATATGTGACTGTCAGTGTAACGTGAATGAACCCCTGACATTTGAAGACATGAAGAGGTGAGCTGAGCAAAGAGACAACAATACCTTCATAGACAAAAGAGCAGGTAAACATTGAATTATTATTTTCTCCTTCTTATATTCTATTTATGACTCATTTGTCGTGTAATCAACCTTTTGGGCTAGTTGTAGATGTGTTTGGAAGCAATTTGTAACATTTTAATATTATTGTGGCAAATTGAACCAAATGAATGAAATGACTCGAAAAAAGATTCGTTCATCTTGATGAACGAGACTCAAAGATCCGAGTCAGTAAAATGATCCGAACTTCCCATCACTAGAAATGAGGGGACTTTAAATAGGTTTCTATTGATTTTATACTGTATTTATATCACCCTAAACCTAACACACAGGAAACAGTGTGCAATTAAATTTTCTGGAAAAAAAAATAATAATAATTTTGTATTATATATAAGCTTTTTGAGAAATGGGGGCATCAGCAACGTCCTCAAAAATCACCATGTCTTGGATGACCTGTTTTATACTTATTCCTCTGTACACATTTGTGTCCCAACATGTCACAAAAACATGTACACACACACACAGACATGGATGATTTGCAATGTACAAAAGGCACCTTCCCATCTGTGTGTTTAAAGAGTCCTTTACGAACTGACTGTGAGCGACTGACTTTTCGGAGGAACAAAAAAAAAACTATGCTGAAAAGAGGCGTTTGAGGATAAAGTCTATCTCTTTTGTGTTTGTGATCTTTCATCATCTGCTCTGTATCTTGTAGATCATCGGACTGAATGAAGATGACGATTGAAGCTCTTCTCTTCATTGTAGCTGCTCTGCAGGTGAGGTTGTGTTCTAGTACATACACGCACATCAACACTGATGATCAGATCATTATGATTCCTCTCTCTGCAGGATCACAGAGTCGCTGCTGTTGGATATCCACTGGACATGGCGCTGAATTCAGTTGATGATCAGTATAAGGGATGTACAGAGAAAATGGCAGATCTGGTGAAAACAAAATATCTTGAGAAAGAAATGTCTTGGGTAAACATTGAAAACTACAACTACAAGACAGCAGAAGATAACTTGACCCAGAATCATTCAGTTGCCATCTATATGTACACTAACTCAGATGTTAAAGTGCATCGTAACTTCAATATGGATGTGCTTAGTGGTAAAGAGAAATACAACACTGATGCATTCTCATGGTATTCACTTCACTTTCTGTTAACTGAGGCCATTCAGATCTTGAGGAAAACACAGAATGGATGCTTTTCAACCTACCGTGGGACAAATCTTCACTTTGACAGGAACGTCCTGAACAAAGAGGTTCGTTTTGGCTTTTTTGCGTCCTCGACTCTTGATCGCAACAAAGCAGAAAGTTTTGGGAATGTGTCTTGTTTTGAGATCCACACTTGCCAAGGTGCTGATGTTGCCAAATATTCCAAGTTTCCTCTTGAGGAAGAGGTGCTGATTCCTCCGTATGAGACTTTTAGAGTCTCTGCTGTCAAAACTAGGACATTTGAAGACAATCTCTGGTGTGAAACTGTGTATATGCTAGAAAGCACTGGGAAAAGAAGTGCCCTGAACTGTGCATTAGTAAACAGGAGAGACGATGAATTACTTTAGATCTTGACATAATGTCCGGCTTTTAAGGATTTTTTGGTCTACTTCACTTTTTCCGGCAGGTCGTCTTGAAGTGATTTCTTGATGGTGAACTGGTGTGGCAGAAATCAGGCCTGGGTGTGGCTATAGAAATTGAATTCATGTGTGATAAATCAGAGTTATGTTATGTTTTAGTAGGGGGCAAATACTTTTTCACACAGGGCTATAATTGTGTACTTTGCCTTAATAATAAATAATAATAAAACCCTGGGTGTGGCTACAGAAATTTAACCTACTGTAGGTGTGATAAACTAGAGGTAAGTCATGATGTAACGGGGGGCAAACACTTTTTCACATAGTGCTATGTTGTTTTGTATTTTGTCTTCATAATAAAACCCTTCATTTCAAAACTGTATGATGTGTTACGGTAATTTGTGCCATCATCTCGACATGATGTGTAGCTTTTGAGGATCTTTTGGTCTACTTCAGTTTGTCAGGAAGACTCTATTTAAGTGATTTCTTGATTGTGAACAGGTGTGGCAGTGTTCAGCACTGGGTGTGGCTAGAGAACTGTAACTCAGGTGTGATAAATCAGAGTTAAGCTATTATTTAATGGGGGCAAACGCTTTTTTACATATGACTAGGTAGCTTTGTATTTTGTTTTCTCTCAATAATAGAAACCATCATTTCCAAACTGCATGATGTGTTTACTTGGGTTTGACTAATATTTAAAGTAGTTTGATGATCTGAATCATTAAAGTGTGATACAAATTAAGTGATTCCTCCAACTTAGATATTTAGATTCACTGCTGTCAAAATGAGGACAAATTAAGACAAGCTCTGGTGTGAAACTGTGTATATGCTGGAAAGCACTGGGAAAAGAAGTGCCCTGAACTGTGCATTGGTAAACAGGAGAGATGATGAATTACTTTAGATCTTGACATAATGTCCGGCTTTTGAGGATCTTTTGGTCTACTTCACTTTTTCCGGCAGGTCGTCTTGAAGTGATTTCTTGATGGTGAACTGGTGTTGCAGAAATCAGGCCTGGGTGTGGTTACAGAAATTGAATATATGTGTGATAAATCAGAGTTATGTTATGTTTTAATAGGGGGCAAATACTTTTTCACACAGGGCTATAATCGTGTACTTTGCCTTAATAATAAATAATAATAAAACCCTGGGTGTGGCTACAGAAATTTAACCTACTGTAGGTGTGATAAATTAGAGGTAAGTCATGATGTAACGGGGGGCAAACACTTTTTCACATAGTGCTATGTTGTTTTGTATTTTGTCTTCATAATAAAACCCTTCATTTCAAAACTGTATGATGTGTTACGGTAATTTGTGCCATCATCTCGACATGAAGTGTAGCTTTTGAGGATCTTTTGGTCTACTTCAGTTTGTCAGGAAGACTCTATTTAAGTGATTTCTTGATTGTGAACAGGTGTGGCAGTGTTCAGCACTGGGTGTGGCTAGAGAACTGTAACTCAGGTGTGATAAATCAGAGTTAAGCTATTATTTAATGGGGGCAAACGCTTTTTTACATATGACTAGGTAGCTTTGTATTTTGTTTTCTCTCAATAATAGAAACCATCATTTCCAAACTGCATGATGTGTTTACTTGTGTTTGACTAATATTTAAAGTAGTTTGATGATCTGAATCATTAAAGTGTGATACAAATTAAGTGATTCCTCCAACTTAGATATTTAGATTCACTGCTGTCAAAATGAGGACAAATTAAGACAAGCTCTGGTGTGAAACTGCGTATATGCTGGAAAGCACTGGGAAAAGAAGTGCCCTGAACTGCGCATTGGTAAACGGGAGACAATAAATTTCTTTGGATCTCGACATGATGTCTGGCTTTTGAGGATCTTTTGGTCTACTACACTTTGGCAGGTAGACTCTATTTAAGTGATTTCTTGATTGTGAACAGGTGTGGCAGTAATCGGGTCTGGGTGTGGCTATAGAGAACTTGAACTTTGGGGCCTGTTTCAGAAAGGAGGTTAAGTGAAAACTCAGAGTATTATAGTATTTTAGAGTATTTCCGGTTTTTGAGGATCTTTTGGTCTACTTAACTTTGTCCAGCAGGTCCTATTTAAGTGATTTCCTCATTGCGAACAGGTGTAGCTTGAGAAAATAAACTCAGGTGTGATAAATCAAAGTTAATTTTTGCTTTAATAAGGGGTGGAGCAGACACTTTTTTTTTTTACACAGAACTGTGTAATTTTGCAATTTTTTCCCTTCATAATTAGAAAAACCTTCAATTCTAAACTGTATGATGTATATATAAATTTGTTTAATGATCTGAAACATTAAAGTAACATTAAACTGAGCAATAACATAGGAATAAAAACATATTTATTGTTTATTTTCATCTTATTTAGTTATTTATCTTTATTAATTTATTTTTTTTACCTTTTTATCATTATGGTTAATTATTAATTTTATCATTATTATTATTTTATTTTTATGTTTTGCTTTGCTTTTTTCTTAATGAGAAGTCAGAGGCTGTTGAGGGAGGGAAATGTTCAACTGGGGTTGGGGTAGGGTAAACACTAACATGGATGGATAATTATAAAATGACTGTTATGGTTGATATTCCATGTAAAAACCTAATAAAAGAAATTTGAAATAAAGTATTTAAATTCTTATTAAAATTCGCTCTCATTTTTTATATTTCTTTATACAGTAGTGGTTGTGGTTGAATAAATTTGACCTCATAACTTTTATCAGTTACCATAACTTTCCCTGCGCCACCGTGACTCCCACATTTGTGTTGTGGTAGGCATAATTTAGATTACATTACAAAAATCTGTTTAGGGTTTAGGGATAAAGCATCAAATACCTTTGATACAAACATCTTAATTGTAATGCAATAATAGGAATAAAATATAATAAGAGGGAATAATTAAGTGCTTATGCTTTGTTTTAATTTAGAAAATATAAATGTTACAATATAATAGTATAAATATTATTCTTACGTTACCGACTTGAAATTAGCAAAGATTTTTCAGTGGATTTTAAACTGGTAACTAAAAAGCCTTTCCACTGCCTGCAGAGCAATAAAAATCCACCAGAGGGCAGAACACCTTGAAAATTGATGGTGTATAAAAGAATAAGTATCAGATCATGTACAGCAGTGGTTCTCAAGGGGTCGCGGGACAATGAAGGGGGGTCGTCTGGTGATTTCCAAAAAACTATTTATTTTTATTTAACAATAAGAATTACCATATTTCATCTAAAACGTTGTTTATAGTTACTATATAGTCACTATAGTAGCTTATAGTTACTAGTTCTGTTGGATTGTGACCCCTGGGGTAATAACATTATATTAAAGACGCAGTAGCGTCAGATGCAGCAGATTGATTTTAGAACACCAGGTTAAACTTTCAGGCAGATTTTACAGCAGTGACATACATAAAAAAATTAAATGAAGTATAGACTTGGGTCTATTGGTGTGTGTGTGTGCGCCATTGCATGCAACGTTTCTGTATTTATAGCCACCTTAGAGGATATTGAGGGTCGCGAGTCACTAACATTGTTATTTTGGGGGTCTCGGGCTGAAAAGTTTGGGTAGTTCTGATGTACAGAATGCTTACAAGGAAAGTTTTGATCACACACACATGATGTAGGTCTCAGAAACATGAATATCAAATACAATACAATTACTTTTACATGTGTAAGGCCTTTCTTGTGGATTAGAGAAAGCAGAGATTAGACAAAAACCAGCACAGTGTTAAAGTAACCATTTACTTTAAGTAAAAAAGTGAGTAAACCCGTTGCGATCAGCAACAAGTTGACTTTAACAAGTAAATAAACCTGTTATAACTTGTAACTGTTAAGTTGAGTTTAAGTTAAGCCAAATAAATCTTTTCAAAAGCAACATTTTAAGTTAATTCATCTAATAATTATTTTACAGTGCAAAGGAGAAGTGTAGGGCAGCATATTTACTTATTTTATTTATTTATTTTTTTGTTATAACTCTGAATATACCGTCCTACTATGAATTACATAATCAGAATTGCAGAAAGAACAGTTTAGGCTCTTACAGCTTTTTAGCCTTTGTCAGTTGTGAAACCACAGGTCTTCATATGTGTTGCGTTTAGATGAGCTCAACAGTTTAGATAAGCTAAGTGCAACAAGATCACACTTCAGCTCTAAAACAAACTAGTGCTTTTAGTGCTATAAAACTAGCTTCAACCTTCTCATGCATTCACTTGAAGACTTGATGTCGTCTAGTTAAGAACGATTGACATTTCTGATCTTCACTTCTCATCAGTTTCTCCTGAAAAACACCCTGAATCTGACAAAAACAGAGTATATTTAAAGGTAGGTTTTATAATGCATTCATAAAATAATGCTGAATCTAACCTTGTATATATTAATGAAATAAGTAGTGTTTCTTGTTTTTCATCATCTCTTCTGTGTCTTGTAGATCATCGGACTGATTGAAGATGATGATTGAAGCTCTTCTCCTCGTTGTAGCTGCTCTACAGGTGAGCTTGTGTTCTAATATGAATATTATTACACACATCCACACTGATGACCTGATCATGATGATTCCTCTCACTGCAGGATCACAGAGTCGCTGCTGATGAAGGACAGATATTTCCGCTGGATATGGCTCTGAATTCAGCTGATGATCAATATGATGGATGTAGCAAGGAAATGGAAAAAAAGGTGCGCAATACATATCTGGACAGAGAGCTCAAAAGTAACTCAGATTTTAAAAAGGTTTGGGAAATAGGACAAATGAATATTGATAGGAATTTTAAAGATAAGGAATTAAAAAAGGACCATAAAATCGCTTTGTATGCATACACTTACCCAGGAAATGAAAATACGTCAAGCATTTTTAATACATTCAATGAAGACACTCGTAATGGTAGAAAAAAATATACAGCCAACACGTACAACTGGTATTCACTTCACTTTCTATTAACAGACGCAATACACATCTTGAAGAAAACACAAACAGAATGCGATACTACTTTTCGTGGTACAAAAGTTGCGTTTAAGGGTCAGGTTTTTACAAGTGTTCGTTTTGGCTCATTTACATCCTCCTCTACTAAAAAATATGTAGCAGAAAATTTTGGACAAAAATCTTGTTTTAAGATTCAAACTTGTAAAGGCGCTAGAATTGCTAGATATTCTAAGGACCATGATGAAGAAGAGGTGCTGATTCCTCCTTATGAGGTGTTTAAAATCACTGAAATCAAGACAAGGAATAAGCAAAATAAACTCTGGTGCGACACTGTGTTTGTGTTGAACAGCACTGGAGTATGGAGTGACCTGAACTGTACTCTCTTTAGGAGACCTTAAGAAAGTTCTGTGATGTGAGATGAACAAAAGTACATTGATTTTATATACAGTAGTCAACATTCCAAATGGATATAAAAGGTTTATTTTTTTCCTAAAACAAGAATGGATGCTGTTCAATAGAACGACTGTGACGAAAGGTGATGAACCACTTCAAATGTTGACTTCTATATATTTAGTCATAAACAGCATTTAAAAAGAAAAAAAGCAGAAAAAAATGTTAATTAAAAAGTTGTGTTATGTGTGCACGAACTTTGTTAGTTTGAGCTTGCAAACTTCTGTCGTACGGCACTGCAAAAAGTGGCAGGATTCAACAAGATTATTAGACATTTAAAATATGCAAGCATTTGGTCCATATTTAAAATTCTGTACAGAGAGTTCGTGTTTTGATCTTTAATACAGCCACGTTATGCGATTTCGCAGGTCAGAGTTCACCAAGCTTGAACTTTGCCACGCAGCAAACTGCAAAACTTGTCGCACAAGCTTGCATTTCTGGTCAGCAACATTCGCGTGTGCATGAATGTAAGTTTATAGGGAGAAAATTGCAGTGTGACGATGGCTTAACTCGTAAACCAGAAGTGCATGTTTTTTTGTATTTCACAACGGTTGTCTTTTATTGAATCGCAGCATTTCTCTGATTGTATTATTGGCGTGATCTGGTAAAAATGAGAAAATTACTATTGTTAAAACTCACTGTTGTTCCTTGTTTGTTTTTGTTCATATTCAGCTTCTGTCAACCAAATAAATCATTCAAAGCATAAACTTTCTCCCATACGTCTCTTTTTTTTTTGTACTTGATGTGGCATGGACAGTTTGAAACTCACAAAACCCACGACCAAGGAAGCAATTTACACAACTATAAGAGCAACAATGAATAAGTGCTGTAGGCAAGTTTCAGGTGTGTAAAGAAAGTGTAAGAAGCAAAACAGTATATATATATATATATATATATATATATATATATATATATATATATATATATATATACATACATATATATATATATATATATATATATATATATATATATATATATATTTTTTTTTTTTTTTTTTTTAAGTAGTTAGTCAGAGAGGGAAGTGCATGTTAGTAAATTCATACAAATTAGGCAATTATCAAAAAGTTCAACAAACAGGCGTGAGATATTATTGTAGCCTGATTTCACAAGGAAGTATAACTGGAGATGTGGTTGACCAAACTTAACTCTTTATGACTGTAATATAGTTTACTTTCAGTTTTGCCAGAATTAGCCAAACGGCTGTTTTGCATCTTTAGATTCTTTGGCCGGATGGTAAAATAGTCAACCTAAAAATATAAAACAACTAACTATAAACAATAAATACACATTTCAAAATGCATGTGAAATGGGCTGCATTTCTAAAAATTAACAATACTAAAAATAGTATTAATAATTATAATATTACATTACTAAATATAATTATACTACAAAAGTAACAGATTCATATTTTACAGATGCACAATTGACAATAATATATATATATATATATATATATACTGAGAGAAGATTGTTTTCAACACATTTCTAAACATAATAGTTTTCAAGACACTTCTATACAGCTTAAAGTAACATTTAAAGGCTTAGCTAGGTTAATTAGGCAGGTTAGGGTAAGTAGGCAAGTCATTGTATAACGATGGTTTGATCTGTAGACTATCGAAAAAAATATAGCTTAAAGGGGCTATTAATTTTAAAATTTAATTTAAAAAAATTAAAAACTGATTTTCTTCTAGCTGAAATAAAACAAAAAAGACTTTCTCCAGAAGAAAAAATATTATCAGAATTACTGTGAAAATTTCCTTGCTTATATATATATATATATATATATATATATATATATATATATATATATATATATATATATATATATATATATATATATATATATATAATTTTTGCTTTGAAATTATCATTATTGTTAAAAGTGCTTTTAAAATTAACTTGAGTTGAATTGACAGGTGGAGTTTTCAGTGATAAATCCAACTAGAAAAAAAGTTATAATTTCATGTGTAACAAGTTAAAGTAATTTAAGTTTTCACTTTTACAGTGTAGTTTCAAACTGTAATTTAAGTTGAGCCAATGAGTTTTTTAATGTTAGTAGTGATAAGAGAAAATAAACTATGCTGTGATCACATGTGGAATTATTTAGCACTTTTCTTTTACTTTCACATAACTGATGTAATGTAATGTAATGTAATGTAATGTGTATTTATACAGCGCATTTATTGTGTATGGCCAAACACCCAAAGCGTTTCACAATCATGAGGAGGGGTCTCTCCACACCACCACCAGTGGAAATTTTCACAGTAATTCTGATAATATTTTTTCTTCTGGAGAAAGTCTTTTTTGTTTTATTTCAGCTAGAAGAAAATCAGTTTTTAATTTTTTTAAATAAAATTGTAATATTCTTAGCCACTTTAAGCTATATTTTTTTGATAGTCTACAGATCAAACCATCTTTATACAATGACTTGCCTAATTACCCTAACCTGCCTAATTAACCTAATGGAATTGTGTAGTCTTGTGTTTCATTAACAGATTGTATATATTTTTTGTGAAATATTATAGGTAACATTTATAAAGGGTACCTTGTAATGCATCAGGCCCAGTATGTTATTTCATGTCCATGTGATGTCCATATCTAAGCTGATAACGTTTAAGAAAACACGCACTGAAAAGTGACTAGTTCCTCCAACTCCATCAGTAAATTTCATTTTTGGGATGAATGGGCTACAAACCGCTTTTAAGTGTGTTGAAAACAAATGTGTCCAGACTTGTTTTAAAGTTTTCATGATAACGGCTCAACTTTGGAGGAGATGGTCTTCAGATAACAACAGTAAGAAAGTTCTTTGTGATGCAGTCAAGCGTTTTCACATGAAACAGTAAATGAATGGGATGGACAACTCATCATGTTCTGACAAGAAACCGCAATGTTCATGGCAATTTCAACAGAACTGTACATGTTTGTCCAACAAGTTTTTTGCCAAACCATTATGTCATCAAATGATTTGTGTTCTGAAAATGCATTACGAAATTTCTTGGTGTCAAAACTATTGTGTTTCACCCTATTTTGTTGGTCCCTTGTGCTATTGTTGTTACATTGCAACCACTCATGCATGTCCCGTACTCCACCAATAGACATTCTCCTGACTATAAAAAAAACTTGCTAGTAAGTTAACTTATGGCTCGTTTCCACTGACTGGTACAGTACGGTACGGTTCGGGTCGGTACGGGTCACCTTTATCAGGCTTGCGTTTCCACTACCAAGGGTACCCTTTTGGTGGGCGTGGTGTATGACAAAGTTTCAGTCGACGTCATTTTCGCTCGAGAAAATGTCTACAATAAAGCTTCACAGGTCGTTCACATATCATATGAGAAGCACTTCTCACAAAACAGATGCTTTACACACATAAATACTTGTGTATAAATGTTTATTACTAACTTTTCTACAAACAGGAGTTGATTATAACTGCAGATCAATGACAGCGCGAAATAGCCTACTGTAACGTCTGTAATTATATTAAATAAATAAATGAACATATATGAACACCTACAGCCCCTTACAGTCTCCGATATGTTACCAACTACAGAAGAACTACTCAAAGCACTCATTTCGTAGTTAATTAGGTTCAAAACAACACAAAGTATAGCCTACAGTCAGTGAAAACCTCTCAATTGTGTCTGTAATCTTCAGCAGCACATGTAGCCTCTGTTAGAGAGTAATTCCATCATTCCAAGTTCATATTAGTCCAAAAGGTGATAATAAAGATTAAAACAAGGCAGTTTGTTCACGTTTGCTGAAGAAATAACGTGCTCCTTCATTGGCTTCGCCTTTTTTCCCGCGCTCCACTCTCGCGTTTGTCCTTTTCTTTCTGAATGTGTCACTCTCGCGTTTGTCAGCTTCTCACAGGATCGGGTTTCCAAAGCTTGTCAATAATCAAGTGCATGTTATTATTATCAGCTCAAGAAGTTTGTTATTTCAGGTAGAGACGCGCGGCGAGCGCAAGAAAAAAAAGCAAAACCACTCGGGCTTTAGACTGGCTCGTTAAAAACTACGCGGCACAGGGTAAATTTTCTCTTCTCCATGGCTTTGTGGCTGTTTATCATGATGACGACAGGGTTTGTTTGCAGGATCGACCATGGCTGCATATGTATTTATAAATTCGCTGTAATCTCTCGCTGTGTTTTTCAAACATGGCGGGTCCTTTGTTTACATTCTGGCTTGTTGAGTCTACGAATGACCAATAGCGTTCAGCTGCGCATGTAGCTCCACCTTTTGGGACCCTTTCTGCAGTTTGGGACCCTTTCGAAAGGGTCCCGAAAAAGTGGTACGGTATGGTTCGGTACGCCTTTTGACAGTGGAAACGGCCATAAAAGCATACCAAACCAAACTGTACCGTACCGTACCACTCAGTGGAAACGGGCCATTACACTTACCCTATCCCTAACAGTACAGTTTACTAATACTCTAATGAGAATTAATTGGCATGTAATTGCAGTACTACGCATGTTCAACCAAACTTGTTAAAGTGACTCAAAATAAAGTGATACCAACTATTGTAACACTGAATTGGTTTTTAGTTGTTATCTTCTTAAATCATGGGAAAAAATGTATGGTAGTCTCTTTATTTTTATGAGTCCATTCTTATGTATGGAAGTAACATATTTGCCCCATTCCATTATCAACTACTTACCTGGAGCTAGGTCATGGGGTAACAGTTTCAGCAAGGAACCCCAAACTCCCTTCTCCCCAAGCTATTGCTCCAGCTCCTCCAAGGGGATTGCAAAGTCTTCAGGTGAACGAGGGAAGCTTACATGGGCATCCCTTATTTTTGACCCAGGAATGAGACTGCTTCATAAAGTATGTCCACTCCTGAACCTAGAAACCTATTTCCTAGATTGCAATCCAATTAGGATGTCACAACAGTGTTGATTTTAAGTGCTTAAGAGTTTAGTACAGTGGTCTCAAACTCAATTCCCAGAGATCT